CTGACACAAAGATGTGAAAAATGGTATCTGCGTAATATATTTGTAAAAATAACACATCTTTTCCAGGACTACGTAAAACTATAAGTAAAATAATCTGAGTATTAATATTGTTATTCAAAACGATATATATATATATATATATATATATATATATATATATATATAACCTTGTGATTTGCCGTTTCAACTCAATAGGCTTGAATAGTCCGTGATGGATAAATGGGCATTTATTATTTATATAGAAGTCATTCCTCTTCTTATCTTAAATGTTTATTATTTTATTGATAGACAGTGAAATAGCTGTTAGCATACTGACTGTTTCTTGAATCCGTCAGTTAGAATAATGATGAAACTAGTAAATTCTAACAAAAAGTTTCTAAACATTTCTGGTTTCTGTATTTCCAAGTTAGTTCCTAGTGTGAATGTTTACAAGTGAAGGATGAAATACAACCGGAGTCTTGATCAATGCTGAATAAGGATTTTTAAGTTTTTTCGCTGAATATATAATTAGTGAGGTTCATTGATCTCTCCGTTTATATCAGTCATATGTTTCTGATCATTTACTTATACCACTTGTAGTCTATCCAGATTTCAGGTTCCACTAGTCTTATTTTCTATTCAGTCTATAATAAGACAAACATCCACATTATTCACGTGTATTAAAAGAATTAACTGTATGTTATTTCAAATTGTTCAGAAACAAACATAAATCCATCATACAGTCATGTGAATTAAAATTAAGTTCATTCCGTAAACTGAACAAGTGCAATTTTATATATTCACTTTTATGTATTCACTTTAATTGAGACACAAAACTTTATTTTATCATGAAATTAGTTCATTTAGAAGTAACTACTCTAATAAATGTTTAGTTCCAACTTTAATGGTACGATTCATGTAAAAAAACTACATTGAAATTAAGTGTAATCGAATTAAATTTCATTTATATTAGCAAACTGAACAAGAAAGTATTTAGAAACTTTAATCGTAACTCTTTATCATTTAAAAATGACTCTGTGATATTATGAAATCAGTCAATCACTTTATATACCTTATGAACAATTGTGAACTTAACTGATTTTATCACTAAATATGCATGCGTTTATCTAGAATCATTCTAATTTGTTAACGAATATGTAATTTCCTTATTTCTACTCTTAAATAAATTCATTGAATTATGTGAACCGATGAACTGAATTACTGATCAAAGTTAATAAAATTCGGTGAAGTTCACGAACTTTATAACATTCATGAAGTTCTCAGGATTATCCATAGTTAATTTTATCATACTGAATAATGACTTAAATACAAATTTTTCTAAATAGTTACTGATACATTTCTCTAATAACACACAACTTTTCTGATAATCAAGGTTACCATATCGTTGCCAACTAATGCACTCGTTATCAACAGTAAAATGATTGTGTCAATATTATACTTACTAAATAATTAGTGCAGTCTTTATATAAATCAGCTCTAATAGGGGTGAATATTTTTCTCTAACTGTGTTACATTACCTGGACATAGACCTTCATCCGACTATGATCACATTCTCTTCATTTTTTGTGTTTTCATTTATTCTTTTCTAAATTATGGTTATATATATTTATAAATGGTAAACCCATAATTGACTTTGTAAAGTTCATTTACACTTTGTTTTTAAAAGAAAATAGATCAGTTTTATTCTATTTTGTTTAGAGTTTTCTTTACAATATAATCTTCAAACATTTGAACTGTAACACAAACCTCCAAGCAGATATTAAGAACAAAAATGCAGATTATCTATCAATTTTGCTTACAGTATTACATTAAGAGCTTATGAATGTTGAAGTTTAATAGAGTTACCGGTGTAACGATAATTTATGGACTACCTTTGAGCTACACTGAAGTGACCTTGAGGGTGTCCACCTAATAACTAGGACCAAATGAGAGTTGTAAACCAGTGTGAAGAATTAGAATGATCATTAACAGTTGATGGTTAAGGTTAGGGATTAGATTTAGGGTTTTCATCACAATGGGTAAATATCTCGCAGTCTACAATTGACCGTTGAAAACACTGATTCTGACCCAGTGAATTAGCTGGTCAGTTATGTGCAGTGTAGAACCTGGTACTTAAGTATATTGACTCAATTTGCTACACTACAGTATTACCAATCAAATAGAGGTAGTAGCATCAGCGACAGTAAAATAGATCAGTCATAAAGAATATGATTAGAGAACAAATGATAGATGACTAATAATGTCCTAGTAAAGAGCCGTCAATTTTTGACACATCTTTTTTAATACTAAATACTTCCACAAAACGTCTCGATCACTAAAGCCAAATACTGCCGTCGCGTCAAGGAATACTATCTTTATCAGAAGTCGGTTAGTATGCTTATGTTCTGTAAAAGTGCGAAGATTTGATCGGTGGATCGACACTTTGTTCTAAAACCATGCTGACTTTCTAAGGCTTCCAGTTCACTACCCTTAATTAAGTGTTGGGTTATTTTTGAGACGGCTATTCTAGACAATACAGATCGAAGGAATTCCTCTGTGGTTATCAAAAGTGGATTTATGTCCTTCCTATTTAATTAATACGATCAGACGCCATTACGTGCCAATTCTGCACTGATGACGATGTGGTTTACTTGAGTCCGTGTTTGAGTTGGCTTTGCTGGTCGCTACGATGGACAATGTTTCTCTTTATGGGCATTTTTAGGTTTATGAAAGTTAGGGATATTTTCATAAAATTGATCGTTTTCTTTTTCCGAACTGCAGTTGGTTTGAGCGCTGTCAGAGACTGGAAGAATGTAACGGTGTTTTTCTTTGTCGTGTTGGGTTCATACAATACTATTCAAGTGGACGGCGCGGCGCGCAAGTAAAGGTGCAGTCCAGAAGACTTCGTTTTGCTTTTGGATTAAATGAAATAGTTACACAATTTAGGAGAGTGACTGTATAGCGTAAGCGATAAGTGCTTGAGGCCGGTTACACGCGACCTTTCCATGAGGATTTTTAATGTGTTAGCTCTGTACTTTGAAAGGCATTCCCTTCTCAGTCAGGAATCTTTGATACATGATGAAGTGTGATATATTTGTAACCTGTCTTCTCTAACCCCTGCTTTCTATTGTCGAATGAGGTGATCTCTGGAGATCCTGGTTGTTGTGATCATATTCCAGTACAGTTTTTAACTGAACCGTCTCGCGTAGTTGGACCTCAGAGGAACGAGTGTTCCCGTTAATATTCTTCTGTTGGGTCACTACGATAGGTGGACTCGATCACCATACCGATGTGGAAATCTCCGGTAGGGACTTATTATCATCTAAGTTGCCGCGAGATCGTAGCTTGATAACGTGTGAAGTTGTGAATGTGTGCTATTGATAAGTTGTCAATATGGCCGAAACAGTCACCAATAATTCTGTGGCAGTTTTCAGTAGTGTTTTAGGTAAAACCAGTTAATGATAAAATTGATTTCAAAATAATATCTTGGTTTCTAATTATGAAAGGGATTGTCTTACTGTATGAACAGAAATTTGTGCTGATATTGTGAGCTACTGGCTTGTACAGCTAACATGCTAATTAATTGCACACAATGATTATAACCACCTCATTCCAAACTATTTGGAACATGATTAAACTTAGAGTGACTAATACTGAACTAAGCTCATTATTATTGTATTTCTATGTCGCTCGAATGTTTCTAAATCAATTGTGCAATAATCGATAGTCTAGTGCGTGATGTGTTGTCTTTATTTGAACATAAACAACATTTGAAAGACAAAATAAATCCATAAAAAATATACCGCTAGTATTTTAACAGTTTATTCGATTAATAAACTGTCAAGTGAGTGCATATTTTATAAAGTTAACTATACAGTTATTCATTTCAAAGGGAATATTTCGAGATGTTTTATTCTCACTGTATTAATTACTGTTTATATTTGACCAGATATTATGGTTATGAATATAATTGGTAATGTTAGGACTGATTTGTCAATGATTTGTTTGTCAACGTGTTTGAATCAGGTTGACTGCTTTTGTGAAAGTACATACATAAGCCTTACCCATAACTCCTTCTTTTCTTAATTATGTACCTTCATGGTTATGACAGGTTATCAGATCTATAAATAGCGCTATGATTTCTAATCCGGAATATAGAATAAGATTTTTCGGTTCATACCAGTTATCGAATAATTCACTAAACGGTAAAAATACTCCTCCATCATATCGTGAGTGCCATCGTGTACAACTAGAAGAATTCTTACTTATGAAGATGAAAGTTCTGAGTATCCTTAATTTTTTGAATAAGTTTTATTGACTGATCAACAGTTCCTTTTAATATTCAGACCACCCTGTTCGACAACTATCATCGTAAAATCATAGTGACTGCACAATAATATAGATTACTGAAATCCAAACAATCGAATGGACTGCGTTATACTTTATGTAACTTTCTAAACATTCCTAGCGTGTAATTAAAGTATTTATGTCAGATGTTACGTTGTAAGTGAAACCAGCCATGAATATGAACAAAGGTGTAAAAACTGTAACGTTTATGTTACTTTCATGTAACCTTGTATTAATGAAACCGTGCATATATATGTACAGTAAAGTTTAATTTTAATCTTAGAGAGATGTGTTTATTTATTCATTCGTAAAAGGTTATTCTTAATTTCAAGTGAAATCATTTTAGATGACCGCTGATGAATAATAGCACAACGTGTAAATACATTTGTAATTTTGTGCATTGTAAACGCTAAAATGAATAAATAAATCTTAAAATTTATTTACTAAATCACTGTACATACTTGGAAGTGTTTTCATTTATTACAAATGATTTATTAACATGCCCGTCATTGTTTTTTTTTTTATTAAAGTGTTTTTGTTATTTGTCTATCGAATTATAAACTTACTATTGTAAGAGGATATTGTAAATATATATAGATGTATCCTATTATTTGTGGAACGAAGTATCTTGGAGTGTTTAACATTGTCTATTTAATTATTTATTTGTTTTACAGGAAGATCCTCTTGAACCTGCACTTAAACTTATCCCAGGTTTTTTCGGCACAGTGGTTCTGGTCAATAGTTTTTCAATATTTTACGAAGGACCTTCATGTACGTTAGCTGCAAATTGTCATCGATATTTTCATTAAAACGACAGTTGTTACGTTTGTTGTAATAGATATTTATTTAAGTGTTGAAATTGTTTGAGAATTTGTCAGTGATGAAAATAATTATTGGTGTATTTCGCGGATATTTTTATAATGTGGATTGTTACTAAAATGCACTACAGAACTTATTTGATGGTAGCTTTCTGGACATTTTACTTAAATCTAGCACGAAATGCACTTGACTGAGATAAGTTAACTAGTTTTTTCAATGCTTTTATCCATTCGAATCAAGTTTCCGTATAGTGTATCGGTTTAAAGTGTTTATATAAGTAGCGATTTCTATGCACAAAATTGAACTATACGACCGGTATAGTAAGAATAATGAATTAATCTAGAATTGCTCTGACAAATATACCCTTCAGTTATCTGGTAGTTTATGGTGTTGGCTCTAATGCAAGCGAAAATATTTTTAATGTTTCTTCGATATTTGTATGAAAGTCAGCAAAGTAGGTATGTTGATGGAGTATACGAGTTAGTGCATTATAATTCTTGTCGCAGTGTTGTCAACTCACCTTAGTAAATAATTAAATATTAAAGTGAACATGAGCGTGCGGTGTTTGAAGCAAGCAGTACTGGGTTCGAGTTGTTGAGTAAAAGACCAACACTAGGATTCGGTCACATTGGGCAATAGAGTCCTAAAGGGAAAGAGACGCGCATCAATACGTTTGATAAAAAGATCAAAGTCGATTGATCATAATATCATTTTCATCCACACAAACAAATACTTGGATAAATAACAATAATATCAGTTATGTTCTTCTCAATTAAGTTTGTCAATTTTTTTCTTGAAAAAAGGTTTCTATTTACAAAACAAATTATCACTGTATTTCACTTCCTTACTTTTGTTAATTCGGATTTTACCTAAGATGTGTTAGTTTTTTCCCATTGAATTTGACAACGACTGTATTGGAATATTACAAGTAAGTTGTAAGTGTTTATCTTCCGTGATATTGACCAGCGTACTAACATCGCGGCAATAATTTATGAAAGAAGACATGGACGGAAGTTGGTTGATTCTGATATTCTTATTGTTTAACAAATAATTTAGAAACATTTTACTCTACTGAATTAAATAACCTGTATAATTTCATATAGAGGTTTGGTACATAAATTTAAAGTATTAGAGTTAGATTGTTCCTTTTTATTTATCTCTTGGTTTATGCGTTCAATCCTACTCAATATGTGGATTGATGTGTATGTTGGTATTTGATAAATATTCCAGGTTCTATTTCTATATAAGCTTGAATAACCGATAGTGTGAATTTGTGATTGATACCAAATTTAAAATGACAAGAGTGTTTATACTACTATGGTGTTGATAAGAATCATAAGTACACATGGTATGCGTGAAGTCCATTAGAATGTATACAATAAACATGGTATGATGATTTTACCATTTCAATCAACTTCATTTAATATAAATATCCTATATTTTTCATAATAATTGTATATTTCCGTCTAGATTACTAAAATAACTGCTTCTCTCATATATAATAATTAAATTGTTATTGAAAATATGTTGATATTTGAAATAATTATGGATGTAATTAATTACTTTATATTTTTGTGTATTTTTTCCAGTCTCCAATCTACTTACATTTGTATGAACAGTCGATTATCAACTAACCCTATCTGAACTACATATACACATGCTTGTGTTTTTCCTCTTTTGTAGTGCTGAAATTCGATAGGATACCTCTTTATGGAATATTTATAATTAGCTGTGGTTTAGGTATTATCACTGTTCTACTTGTGAAGTTTGTTTGGGTACCTTTGGTTCGTCGACATATTTTAAGTAAGTCGTTACTCTAGTAATCTGATGTATTATATTGCGACTGTAAGATTTAGCTTGCCGTAAATGGACAGAGAATAGACTGTGTTGAATTATGCAATCATATATTCCAGTCACCAAATGTGATTCGTTTACTTTGATTATGGTGAGATTGTGAATGCATACCACTGAAGATCCAAGGTTTATGTGAAATGCCCCTATATTAACCTCTGAGTTTTCGGCACCTGTATCAACGAAATAACTTTATGCTAAAGGTTTTCTCCTGATGTTTGTTTTATTGATAATCGCTTAAGCCTTTTGATGCTCGTTAAACAATACTCACTGATTTTTCTTGTTGAGCGATTGAACTAGCCAGACAGGACAGATTATTTATAATCTATGTGACCTCATAATCACTAACGTCATAAACGGATGAGCAGACGAATCAAAGGAAGCTGAATTTCATCTGACGTCACACATTTCAAATAAGTGATTGTTTGCTGTGTCAAAGAGATAAAGAAAGGATTAAGTGACAAATACCACACTTTATTTGTCGCAACGTGCGGCGTCCGTGACTTGATACTGATACCATAGTCTTTCCATATGCGAACCCGACTACTCAAGAGAAGATATGGGTAGTAAGAATGGAAGTTGATTTGGTGAAATCGACTCATATGCATGTGCACTTATGTGTATATTCCATAGGTAATGAGGTGTACCAAAAGGTTTGTGTGTGATCCTTTGAAAACGAAAGCATTTATCGGCCAGTCACAACCACTTATGATTTGAGGATTTCCGATTGACCCGTTGTAACAGTATTTTCCAAATAACTATTTTGTTTAAAACTGATTAGTTACAGAATATACTCACTGCTACTGACTGAATAAGTTAAGCACTACATTGAGAAGCTAATAACCAGAATAAATATGAATCTCTATCATCAAATGGGATTTTTTTTAGAAAAGTAATTAAACTTCTGTTTTCTTGACCAGTTAATTTCGTCAACAAAATATAAATGTAAAACGTAACCAATTATATTGTGAGGTTACTGTTTTTCTTACTCAATTCCTCTATCTTTGAACATTTGACGTTTATCTTTGTCGATTACGGAAACTGTGATTTTATTTTTCATGATAAAGGATTGAAGGGTCCTAGTGAGAAAACTGGAGAATCTCCCGTAGGTTTTGTGTATCTTGGATTATCACTGATAAATCTGATGACTTAAAATAGTTCAGTGATATAACTGTCCATCCTTCTGGATTAGATTCTATCACTGACTATTGATTGAGGCCAGCTAAATCACGTGATCGTTGTGAATAAGCATTTCACTGAATGATTGTTTTTCTGGAGAAGAGTAACAGAAATATAAGATGCTATACTACATGTGGGTAGTAGGTCGTATGGTAACTGAGAAATTAAGGTGATATTCAAACTAGGAAATAGTTAAATAGATGTGAATACAGTGCAGAACAATCCTGTACAAATGTTTAAATACGTTTCGAAGGAGAAACGTAATTATCGCAGATTAAGATCAAATGAACTTAACTGTTGGTCAAAGATAGTGTACTTTGAGATTGAAATCACAGATATTATCATCTGTTTGCCTGCGTTCAGCTGACAACAATTCATATAAGGAATGACTTCTTATTGTTATAACTTGTGAACCTGTATGCCCTGTCTATTGTATAACGCCACGATACCGCCAATCAGAGAGCAGCGAATTATCGACCGAACCAGTGACGCATAAAACACGTGCGAGCAGCCTAGAGTCCTGATTGGTCCTGCTTTATGCCTGGCCCAGTCAGTTGAGTCCAGAACACCAATCTCAGCCTCTGCAATACGAATCATTTATTTCAAGCATACTGGGTTTATATATCAACCAGACAGACCACATGTACCATAAAACATGAAAGAACATTTGTACAAGAATTAGCCAAATGTGGCTGTGAGTGAGAGAGATAGTAATTGATAGACTGGGCATAACTGAAGAATGGTGAATCGTATATTAATAGTTCATAGGTCAGAATAAAACTCATAATAAGGGGGATATGAATATGAAAAATTTAGTTGCATAACAATTATACGATAAAATATACTCATAGTATTGGTCCATAAATGGATCCCAAAAATTACCATTCATTATTCTTATCGGGACATAACACGTACAGATTTATTATTATATAATCCGATCTATAAATGTGTATACATTTAAGAGGTCTTTTCGAATTAATAATTAAGATATTTCGGAAGTAAGAATAAATTAAACAGCTTTATAACTTCATGTTTCATTTTCAGTGTTATGACTTTAAATTCTTACAGAACTGTGTTTTAATTTTACAAAAATGAAACCTGACTAATACACGGTAATAATGAACCTGTTTCGATTTTTCTTTAATGTGTGATAAATGAAGTAAAATGTAATTGTGTTTCATTGACGCTATAGATTCGCTTACAACAGCTTACAGATTGTACGTAATTTTTACATTGACTAAAATATTCGGCTAATTCGGTGTTCATGCATTTTTATAGCTGGAGAATCGAGTAGACATATTTTAAAAGGCTATTGTTCCCGTAAGAGCAAAAAGAAATTGTCTGTCGCCGTAGACGATAAGTATCAATCTGTTGAGGATAATAAATCTTCCAAACTTTCAAGCAGTAATCATGAATCGATTGATATGGATACGTATGTACCTCGTGCAGAGGGAGAGGCTGTGGTTGGATTTCGAAACAATGTTGCCAAAGGAAATACAGATGACAAAGACAAACTTGGACGAGTTACTAATGAAAATAATGGTGTATTGCAGGGATTAGAAAATCAAAATAAAGTTTCAAGTCGTAAGTTTTGTTTTGTAAAATAAAGCCTCACTTGCGTTATCCCCAAGGTTGCATTGGCACGAAATTCTTAACCATTTTTATCGTTAAAATCTCATGGAGATTAGATGCAGATTTATGGTTATATATACTTTGTAAAGCACAATTTGGTGACAGTAATTTATTATGATTATCCTCATGAATTTGGATAAAAGCAGGCTGTTAGTTAAAACAGAAATATGTGGATATAGTATTTCATGGATTCTATTCATTTACGATTGTGTTGAGATATAAGATTAGTCATAGCACACAAACAAGGAGCTGAAATGGGGTGTTATCATTGATGTTTTCTATAGATACATGTTGGAAAGCCCACCTGAAGATCAGCATAGAAAAATACGACGAAAGAAGCTTGCTAAGATGAGCTGTGTGACAGTTGTACGAAACCTAAAAGGATTTACATAAGTTTGACTAATTGGGCTAGTGGGAATCACTCAATAATTGTAAAAGTATGTTTTGGAGTGCATGGAATAATAAGTAACTTTCTAAAGATCGCCTAAATGATCATAATTATAATATCAACGGAAACGAAAGTATTATTGAGTGGGTTTTATGGTGATTGGTTTAATTTGAAGGTGGCATTCGTCACAGTTTGACCTCAGTCGATATACCATTAGTGACCAGGGGGGGTTGGGTACTGAACGTTAGTTTAATCGTAGTATGGGGCTCCACGACTATGCTCACTTACACTTATATATCCATATTTGAATGCTTTCTAAATATCGTCATTCCTCTTTGTTAAGTATATATGGCGAACTCTCAACTTCGATTCACAGTTTCAGTACAAGTGTGAATTGTCTACGTATGCTGATAGTGGTTGGTTGATTAAACCATATCTGATATAAATAAGCTGCAGTCTACTTTGTCACATTTACAGGATGAAAGAAAATGAAGTATTTTCCTGTAGATTAAATTTGTTTTAAAATAACGACATTTTCATCGTAAGTGTAAACTACATTTCTCAAACGTGTAAATAGTTAATTTTAAGAAAATGGGATTACTTAACCTGAATGAGAGCAAGTTCTGTGAAATTCAAACGTCTAAGTAAAAGTGTTTCAACATCATTAAAAGAAAATAAGCCAGACTGTTCACCATATGGTACTGTTTCTCTAAGTGTTACGTAATCGGTATAAAATTTCAATGTCGGTTGTTAATAAAAAAGGATTAGTTACACACTGTTCACTTCATCGGTGAAGAAATCTGTTTCTACAAAAATGTAGACACAATTTAAAACACTTGCTCTTGAGTAGAACACTTTATGAATACGTCAATTTTATTGTATATATTTCTGTCAAAATGTTTTTTTCACATTATTTCTTGTGAGTAACACCGATTATTATTATTATTATGAACTTCTCTGAAATTGTATAGAAGTGGGCACTGTTTATTAGAATAATGATACATTAAAATTAATTATTAACTTTACTGTGTACTTCTAATGATTTAACTCGTTAATTTACTTATAAGTAATAGGAATATAGTGAAGAAAATGTTTATTCTCTATAGAATGTTGTTAGGAATGATTACATAGAAACGGTTAAACTATGTATGATAAGTAGCTTCATTTTATTTAGAGTAAAGTGAAGTGACCTCATGTGAAATCGTTATCAGTTTATCACTTGTTTTATAGAACATATATTTTAGTGAAATTAAGTGTTGCTAAGTTTTATTTGGCCTGATTTATATACTGACACACAGTTGGCTTCTCAAGAAATCAAGATAATTTCATAGTGTAAATAAAATAATAAATTTTTTCCATGATTATATCCAAAGTGAAATCTTTATATATTATATTATTATTATTATATTATTATATTATTATTATTACATTATATTATATTATATTATTATTATTATTTTATTATTATTATTATTACTAAGACTACACTGAACCTAGTAAACGTTAATGGATGAATGTATATAAATGTAAACAACCCGTTTTTAGTGCTATTTGATTTGGTTATACGTTGCAATGATTGACATGAATTTACTTGTTTTGGCAAACCTAAATCTTCCCAAACTTAATCATGTCGCATCATTTTTCTTCTAAGCTTATTCTTATTTGTATGAGATTTTTATATCTGCTCCCTTCTTTTTACATTTCTTTCATATGTTCCATAGATTTCGAAGTGAAACCAAGTAATCCAGATGAAACAGTTTATAAAAGAAATCAGTTAAATAAGGTTTTGGATTATTCACCAAATGATCAAAATGCCATCACGGATGGTAGTCATAATTTAACTAATGGTAAAATGAATGTATCATTTCCTCCTAACCTGTCTACAATTGGTGAAGTGAGTATTGTGATTTAGTATTTATCTCCCTTTACTACTGTATCTTTTGGGATATACATATACCTTAATTAAATTACTAGATAGTGTTGAATGATTACTGTATATCAACCAATAAGAGGAAAGTGAATATGCGTAGTTTAGTTACTTAACAATTATACAATAGAAATGTATGTATAGTGTTAATCCATGAATGGATCCCAGCAGTTAGCATTCACTATTCTCATTGAGACATATCAGGAGGCTAGCACAAATGAACATTCAACCAAGTTGGTACATTGAATCAGTCAGTGGTTTCGATCATTCCACAGAGCCCTACGAGGTTGTATTCCAGTGTCCGTAAATGGACTTCATTATGATTGAACGACACTGATCCTGGTGACATGTATATCCTACTTGACTCTATATATACTCTGTCGACTAAACGCTTTAATACCACATAGTCATGAAAATTCAGACAGGAGAAGCTGAAAAAGTTTATTCGGTGAACAGTGAATTACAGATGACCAATCAAAGCAGAGACAACAGACACGCATATGGCAAGTACACATAAAACTGTTTGAAGTTAACCGTAAATAAATAACAAGTGGATATATACGAAAACGACAAATGAATACACTATGATCAGTAACGTTTAATTTAAATATGCACAGGCCAGTTTATGGTCACCTAATAGTTTATAGAAGTCTATCGTACTAATTCATGATATAGCTGAGAGTTTGATTATGTTTATGACTCAAGTTTATATGGGTCACTCCATCATACAGTGAAAGATACATGATGTGCTGCAAGGTAACTTGTGGTTATTAGATTCGTTTTTTATTACATATCTTCCTCCTTGTTTATATACTATTTATATTCTATTGCAAATAATCCCAAATTCACATGCTATAATTTTTAAACGATGTATTTTTTCCCAAACCTTGCCACCTTTTGGATTATTAATTTGTATATTCTTTGTTCACTTATGTTTTAATATGATGGGAATTTTTCGGTATTTGGGATGAATGAAAGTCGAGAAATTTCTAACTTCAGAGATCGTATTAATTATTTCTGTTGCATTTGTGAATCGTTTGTTTTCCAAACTAGCGATGAACAGAGAGTGGATATTACCCTAGATACCTTGTATTCACAGTGCAATTGAAGAGTTATGTTTTAGGTCTATTTTGTGTGGGAGTAAATGAAACCATGCTGAAAAGAAGCAGTCTGAACTATTCTACAAATAAGTATTTTGCATGATATCATTTGTTTCAACTGAATGATTAGACCAATTTTAAGCCTATATATTGTGACGTATAACACATGAAATGCATTGTTAATATTTTTGCTACATATAATCTTCACTTAATTATTACTCATTCTTCTGGATATAGGAACCAGATCCTATCGATTCAGTTAAAGATCGTCCTGCTGAAGCTCAAGTTTTCTCTTCTTTACAAATTTTAACAGCTGTTTTTGGATCATTTGCTCATGGTGGTAATGATGTAAGGTATGGATATTTAACATATTTTTTCAATAAATCAAACTGTGTATATAAGAAAAATTCACTTATATTACTACCATTGAAGTATATTCAGTAATCAGAACTTAAGATTATTTATAATTGGTATAAAAAATGAGTTGAATCTCCACAATGGAAATGAAATCAGTTGACGCTATTTTAGGAGATGAAATATAAAATCTAGAAAATTCTAGATATTACAAAGATAATATCTAACATGAGACCAGTTTAGAAAGCTTGATTTTTCACAATGGTTAAATTATTCCTAGTTATCATTTGACAGTTACTCTCTTCCATTTATTCAGTGTTAACACTTTGTTTCTACTGTGTAGGATTATCAAAAAAAAATTGCTGGAAAAGAATAATTGAAATGATTGAACACGTCCTATTTGTTCATACTCACATCACTTGTAGCTATCTGTCATTGCAAAGTTATTCAATAGTAACTAATTTATTCAACTGATAACAAATACGTCTGGACGTCATAAACACTTACTATTAAAGATATTGATGATAGATTTTAAAGCTCTTAATATTGCTTTCTGTTAGGAATTCTATCTTTATTGAAATAGATATAATACAGTAAAATATTTCTTCAGTAAATAAAACATTATTCATGATTTGTAAAGTATAATCATGTTGCTAATCAGAACAGTTTACATTTTGAGAAGAAGATAGTGGAAAATATCTGTGATGATGTTCATTCTGATATCCATTGTTATTATTATTATTATTAAGCAATAATCGTCTGCAATTTCTGAAAACGAAAGAGGATTTTTATAATCTCTGTTTGACACTGGTATATAGTTTTAACAAAAAATCGAAGAGGTTATTTAGGTACTTGATAATGCTCTGTGTTTTTGTTTGAAGAAACCTAATTTAATTTCAGCATTGTTCGTGTTACGTCTTTGATCTGTCTACCGAATAATATACGGGTGAGAACATGCCTCGATGTAGATTAAGACCTTGACACGAGAGGCTAACTGGTTTTATCTTGAGGCTAGAAATGTATGAGTCCAAATTAAAACTAACAGCCTTGAGCAGAGGGACGAAAACCATCTTATGACGTGATTGGTGGACAAGCGAGAGAGAAGACGAGTCAATCGGAATAAGAGACTTTGTGGAAATGGCCGGCTTCTACTCGAGAACAACTGTATTTTCTCCACGAATGTCTTCGTGATATGTCTTGTTGTTGGAATGCTACTTTTTGTATCTGGTCGTCGCTGGTTGTTGTGTTGGGAACACTTATCAGTTATACGCGAAACGAGAGACCTCTGCAATTCCCACGACGCGAATGCAAAAACACAATACCGGTATAAGTGATGAATTATTAACCCCCAAAACACGACGGCGACCCTAGTCGAAAATACACTCACATTTATATATTAATTTTACACACACTGAATAATAATTAGGATGAAAGCACATATATATATATAAATACTCATTTATAACAAATCAGATACTGAGCATAGTTCATGTCAATTGAATACAAGAATATCGTATATTATACATAATAAAATATCATACGAGAAAACAAAACAAAACAAATACTACCCTGAATAATCATCACATTGAATCAAAATGGAAGTAACGTTGAACAAAACTCATAATGAGTAAACTAATCAGATTTCGACTTTTCTTCCTGTCATATAGCTTCGTCCAGCTCAGAGAACAAAGGCCCTTCAGGAACACTACTCGATTTATTTCCGATCGCCACGTTCCAATGCAAATCAGCGTAAAAAAGGGTGTGGTAGTGAATCATACATCAAACGAAAGCTCATGGTTCATAATGAGTAAACTGATCAGATTTCGACTTTTCTTCCTGTCATATAGCTTCGTTCAGCTCAGAGAACAAAGCCCCTTCAGGAACACTACTCGATTTATTTCCGATCGCCACGTCCCAATGCAAATCAGTGTAAAAAGTGTGTGGTAGTGAATCATACATCAAACGAAAGCTCATGGTTCATAGAGTAGGCTAGAGACAAAACCAAATGTTAGTATTTTACAAAGTTTGAATTAACCGAAATAACGTCTACATAAATAGCTTCCGTTGTCTGTCATGGTTTTGTTGTTTTTCTGTTCACGTTCGATCAGAACTGTAATTTCTTTTATCCTTTAGGAGATCACAGTAATCCTGATCATTTGCACATCTTTTTACATAAAATGAATGAGATGTATGGATGTCCTTCTTTTTCATACACCATTTGTAATATCACATTTTTAAACGAGAAAGCATATTCAATAGGAACTATGCTTCTTAGAATTGAAATGTGGAATACGTAAGGGTCTAAGGCTTTCTTAAATGAAATGAGATACTTGTACGTTAGATTTGAATTACGGATCTTTTATGAATTACTGGTATATCAAAGTATAAATCCGCTTTAGGCTAAACTAACATAAATTTTATATGCTGTCACCCATTCGGTTATTTAAAGATACCGTGGTGAACATTCGAATGATACAAAGTTTTCATGAGGAAGAATGGTAGTCATAATCATTTTCAGACTACTCATTCAAAACAATAGTAGTGGTAAACTTGTTTCACTGCTAACCCATTATAAAACATGAAGTCCATGTTTAAACAATTTTATTAACATGTCAGTTTCTTATGAATTATTTTTTATGCAGTAATGCTATCGGGCCGTTGATTGGTTTATGGCTTATTGCCACAACACAATCAGTTGATTCATCGAAAACTACAGATGTTTGGATTTTGGTTTATGGTGGTGTTGGTATATCAGTTGGTCTTTGGATATGGGGTAGACGAGTTATTCAAACATTAGGTGAAGATCTGACGAAAATATCACCTTCCAGGTAAGTTGGTGATGTTTTTGCGCAGAAATATGTTTATTGTAGATATTCTATGTGTTAAATACCATCTTTCAATCAATTTGAATAGTTTTGGTTGTAATTTATATTTCATTTTTCATATTTATTCGAATGTTTTTATTTGCTTGATCTGTGAAATCGTTTTTCACAACTGACACTTTATTTTAGGTCATAAGATTCATTCTCTGATGGAACAACAGTAAGTAAAAACACGAATTTAAAGAAGAATGTTGGATCACTGTGGTGGTGGGATGTAGTCGACAAGAACTTTTCTCCAGTAATCGACATCTTATTTGATTCTGACAGTGCACATTAAAGTGGCTTTTTAGTGTCATCTTTTTTAAAGTGTACTTTGTGTCCACTGTGAGAGTCATCTGGTGGGATGCAAAGAAAGTGAAATTATAACGAGTGTTTAGTATTTTTTAGTTTTTTGGTATGCAGTACTCAATAACTTACAATACTTTTCAGCTAGTCACTTAGTTAATATTCAGCGATCAAGACGTGGAGACAGTTGTGTCCCTTTTCTTCTGTTCTTTTTTTGAAGGAATTTATGGGGATCGTTAAATGTTCATAGCTTACATCATGGGTTGATTTTACTTAAGCAACTGGTATGGGACTGCTCGTTAATGAGCATCCTTAACCCCACTTAGGATCAAGTTTAAGAACTTAATTTCTTGAGATGAGCACTTAACCTTCAGACCACTGAGCTTGCATCTAATGGTTTACACCAACTGCAATCAATTAGCGATATTGTGCAACCACAATCCATTTCCTGTGATGGGTAACTGTCTCACACTTGACTGGTCACGCCTTCTGATTGGAACTCCTGGAAATTTGTCACTATTGAACACAACTATTATTGGTACGGCGTTTGTAGAAATAGTTGGATTGGTTTCGTTTATATACACTGTATGTAGGTCGGGCGTAAGTGTATGAAAATGGAAGTTCAAGAAAACTCACTAATTCTTTACTATACATTTTCACTGAATTGTTTATTTTTATTATTAATAAGATTAGTATCATTATTCTTTTATTTTGTTATCAGTGGTGTTTGTATTGAAATTGGTTCAGCCCTAACTGTATTAATTGCTAGTAAAATTGGTCTGCCAATATCAACTACACATTGTAAAGTTGGTTCAGTCGTATTTGTTGGACGTGCACGTTCTAGAGACAATGTTAATTGGGGTATATTTCGTAATATTCTAGTTGCATGGTTGGTAACCTTACCCGCTGCTGGTGCTATCTCTGCTTTACTCATGTATATATTTACATTTGTAGTATGAATTTAGTTTATTATATTATTATTATTATTAAATATTTTATGATTAAAAAATCTGTTTTTATAAGTAAAAAGAACGAACAGAATAAACTAAATCTCACAAATCATTAATGTAACTTCTTGTTTGTATCCTCATTCATTTTGAGCGAACTGATTGATTTTTTTCTGCTCACTTCTTCATTTACGTACTAGATTTCTATTGTTTTTGTTCTTTTTTTCGTTCAACACATCCGCTTGTAAACACATATGCACATACACAGAGTAGAAAAACATTTACTTTTCTCCCTCGTTATCATTACTATTATTATGAAGTGATCTCGTATTAATTAGATAAATGTTCTTATTAGTGCAAGTGGTGATGGTTTATTTAGTTGATGTTCTGTTTAAAAATAAAAGTTCCCTTAATCTCTCATCATCTTTATTACGTTCAACGTCTGTGGAAATAGTACCCTGTTCACCAGTTAACACTGTACACAGTTTACTCACATACATACACATAAACAGAGACAAGGAATAGTAAAAAGAAAACAGATTTGTAGCAACATCCTTTTGAATTGTAACATAAAACATTATTATTTCCTTGTAATTTTGTTTTTATCAACTAATATTAGTGAAAAAGTTTTATTTTTCTAGTTACTACTTCCTTGATAAGTTGTTTGTTTAATGAGCAGTTATTATTAATTATTAATTTATGATGTGATTCAATTAATTAATTAAGAGAACCTTTGAAAAATGTTTGTTCGGTTGTTTTTTTTTCCCATGTTTCTTTATTAATCATATAAACTATAGGATATATAAATTGAACTAATGATATCACTTTTTGTAAGAAATAAATCTTGGATTTGTTTCGATCAATGATGAGACGACGTTAATACATAGTAAAATGGTATTATATTCACTTTGAACACCATTATTTACAGTGGTGTTATTTTCTCTGAGCTGGATGGTTTGTTGTAGGGTCTTTTTTATTGTCGTCGTTGACTGCATCATGTAGAATATTCTGATGGAGATTTTCAAACAATGATAAATGCTTTGCAATTAAATCATCCATTTGATGAAAGTACATAACACTACCAAATGGATTGATGGGAGCTGCAAACGTTCTCCATTATTTCGATATTACTTATCTTTGAATAGTGGATAGATAATGGATGTTATCATATTGTATCTTAGATCTTATTTCAATATACTGAGTTATCTCAAAATGTATCTTTACATATAGACTTTTTAGTGGGTAAAAATGTACTAGTTAGATGATATTGTATTTTATCCAGTGAGTGAATATAATTGTAGAGTAAAATAGGTATATTGAAATGAAAATGGTTGTCAACGATATGTGTAAAGTGAATAATACATATAAATGTATCAATAGTAGTTGTATATATCTTTTATGATGGTAAGAGTGCTGATAATTTCAATACTGTAAATAAATCATGATACTGAGGAAGGAAGGTGATTTACTGTGTTTGTTTTATGTCGGTTTCGAAGTATCTGGACTATACAGTTTACTAAGATTCCCTGCAAAAACCACTAAGTCCACCGTATTGTACGCGATTAACGAGGACGTGAAATGGATCTGAAGTTTTGGTCGTCAGTCTAGTGCAAGCTTTTTCAAAGAAGATAATCAAATATAAATACATAGTTCACAGGTCGATTGTATGCTAAACAAATTGTCCAATCATGTGAACAATGCATTAAGTGAGATTTGTTGTGGTGCGTACGAGTCACTTGGTATGAAAAGTATGGAAAATTGTGATAAGACAGCATGTGTATGTGTGTTTATGTAGACTTGATGTGATAAAAATTTACCGACCTCATATCCCTCTGGTTATGATTGTTGGTGCAATTCAGTGATTTGATAGATGTCATAAATTCAACATGTCGCAGCATACATAAAATGAGGACGACTAGAGAGATAAATGTAAATTTGTGTTGTTGTGTTAAACAAGCGGATCGTTCATCGTATATTTGACAAATTAACTGATTAGAACAAATGGAAAATAGTAGTTATTGTCCACATAATGAAAGAAGTGAAATAAAGTACAAATTGATCTATTAATTACTAGTTGCCATCGGGAAACTAATTGTATTCTATCTCTTCTACGTATATTGTTTGAGTTTGTCAATATACGTAGGGCTCCAGCCTTCTCAGCTTTAGGCAGAGTTTGTGTCTCCTCACCCGCGCACTGAACCATCGTGATGTCTCGTTCACTCATACATCGTCATAGTCTTTACATTTGGTCACATAGACTCGATTTTGCTATTTCTTTCATATTGTATGCTAGAGCCTTACTAGTTTAGCAGTAAGAGTATTGTTCGTTCAACAACAAAAACACGTATTGTAGTGCTTTAGGGTCACTCCGATTTCTGACGATTAACTATGTTGATCCATTCTCTTAGTTTTTCTTTTCGCTTATCTTTCTGACCCTAATCATTCCTTTTAAAATGTCCCTAGGTTGGTTATTCATCAAAGTACACATAACTAAATCCAAACCAGCTTCTTTATCAATTAGTTCTGAGACGAGTTTCCGAACTCTGTTATCGGATTCGTAGCGACTCTCACCTTTGTAAAAGGAACATGTGATGACTTGTAATCTAGATATGTCTCGGGATATGTTTGATTTTGGAATATAACAATGTTTAAACAATCATCACTCTTCCTCACAAGCAAACAGTCAAGAAATGGCAGTTTGCAATCAGTGGATCCGATTTCTGTAGTGTACTTGGTGTTATCAGATATACTGCTGACGTTTTTAGAAAATTCGTCTCAATCTCATTCGTAATGATAAATCGGTTATCTATATATCTCAACGAGATTGTAGGCGATTGGGGACAATTTGAGATTTCTCTCGTTTCCAATCAATGAACAAACAGGTTAGCCATATTTGCGGCTATCGGTGATCTCGCAACCAACAGTCGACCTTATTAATTGAAGCCACATCTTAGTTTGACTGCCTCTAGCTAGTAAAATTATTTAGTAAGTCGTATCTGGCAAAGCAGAGCATATAAGTTTTACGAGATTTCTCTCGACACATAAATTAGGGTCATCGACATTTAATCCGATAGGGAAAAGACCAAGTATACTATGTACCGCTCCAAATAATTTGGTTTTATCTATCGCATAACCACTGTCAAGCAGGTGCGCCAAGATAGAGTTGTGTATTGTCTTTGTCTGAACATTCCCTAACCACGAAGAGAAGCTCATTTGTACTGATAGTTTTAATTTCTCCCCCAGATGTTAAGAAGTGCAATTGATCGGTGCTCCACGGCATATGTGTATCCCAGTGAGTGAAAATCTACTCTCGGATGCAGGTATATCCAGTTGATGAGTCCCAAATAGAGTGAAATGCACGTTCTCGATTCCACTGCTAGCCACCATCCATCTTTGCTCACAGACAGAGAGATGCTTACTCAATCGCTGATTAAATTTCTTGGTAGTACACTCAACGAATGCAAGCAATTTTACAGAGTTTTTGGGTCTATAGAACTAAACTACAAATAAGGGTATAGTCATTGCATGTTTTGCCTGCATCGTTATGTGGTGGTTTAGCTTTAAGAAAATTTGAGAAATGTCTAGAAATAAGTGAAGATATTTCATAGTATTATGGTTATGGGTTGTTGACATTTCTTGGATAATTAAATCAAACATCCATTTGAACTGCTGTACCATACTAATCCAATGTCAGTAGTTCTCATGAATTCAATTACTCAATTACGTACTTTTGTTCTAGCTTAAATGAAAAGATATAGTCATGGAAATGTATTGACTGTTTATTGGTGTGATCAATTTATGTGCCTATGACTGACAGATTTCAATGCTCTGCTCCCTGACTCGGATGAATACGGAAACACCTGACTAACTAGACTCACTTCTACAACTCGGGATATTCTTTTGTATTTATATCAGTATATTTACCTTCATTATCTGTTTTAACTCTGATGAACAATCTTCGTTATCCTATTTCAATATTTATCGGATTCTGCTTATTATTTGGGAACTCATACAACGATGCACAATCAGCTTATAGTGTCGACCGACCGGTTAAATTATGAGGAAAATATGGATGAAATCAACTAAGTAACCTTTCTTTTGAAAACTTTACATAATCGTGAACCATTTTAATGAAGCTGGAACGTCATTACAGAGATAATTTAATTGTTTATAAAGGAATACGCATGGCATTTGTGACAAGGTCTTAATTATGAAGAAAAAAACATTTAATTAACAGCTGATTGACAATTACTTAGTGTTAATGATTTAAAAGTAAAGAGAATTCAGCGAAGATAATTTTGTTTTCGACGAAATCATTTATTCAAATTGTACATTCGTATTTATAGTTTTGTGGTAAATACATGTCTATAGAGGGATTAAAAAGGTTGCATCATAAATCTTATTTATTAATTTATTAGTTATTTGAACACACAAACATTGGTACAAATGGATAGCAAATACATATGCGCCACACAATAGCTGTGAGAATTTTGAAGAGATAGGGAATTAAAAGTGCGCATAGGAAAAAGGAGAACTATAACGGACTAAAATTTGTGTACGATAGTGAAGTAATAATGGGAGAGGCAGTTCAGTTAGCAAAGGTATGTAGTGACTCACATTTATCACGAGAACACGACTGGTTTAATAAAAACAATAATTATTATAACCAACTGTACCAGTGTTTGTTTTAATGTGCTTTTGTTTGACTGTGCTAATGACAGCTATATTGTGCTTCCATTCTTATTCTTACACTTTTGATTGTAACTTCGCGCAAATTCGGTTACGTTCTGTAACCAGACTTGTATCCTGGCACGATCTCGGTATCCTTTCGATACCACGAGATCGCCAGCAAATATATCTCGACTTGGTCCATTAACTGCCTTCTGATATTTGGCTTCTCGGGGATTTTATGGATTTATTTGGTTACGTTCAACCTTCGCCTTCTGATTTACTTGGCACGTGTTTCTTTGTAGCGGTGTTCATAGTTAGTCTCGACTCGACGCCACGCCACTGGTACAACCAGAATGAATTTTTTTCAGTTAATGAAGTTACGCTCATATTTTATGAAGAAAGTAAAAGAAAGTTACATCAGGATCACCACTGGCTTCTATTCTGCGTCATATCTGATAACGTCATAAGCCACTGTTGCACCATCTCTAGGACCCCAACCAGGGAGTCGTGAACGACCAGCGGGAGCCAGTCATGTACAGCGTTCTTGATGACACGGAACCTTCTACTACACTGATCACCTCTCCACTTCTTGTAATCAGTCTCAGCACCGGAAAGTAATACACGATGTAGAATTCTCTGGGACGACATTCATAGAAAATGTCCAAGCCAACAAAGTAGGAGTTTACAGATAGTGACACCAACTGAATTACCGTCTCTGTGCTCGAACACACAATGTCGAACCTCTGCATTACTAACATGGTTGTGCCACAGGATGTCAGCAATCTTGCGGATACGACGATGATCAAATACAGAGAGTCATCTAACATCCTAAACTCAGAGAGGCCAGGATTCACAAACATTAAGTAAAACTGCTCTCATCAATGAATGATAAACCCAACATTTTACAGCCAAACTAACATCACGAAGGCGCCAATGATGGCCGAGACTGGCATAAGCCACTCTGGCTTTCACTATACATGAATTGATCTCATAACTCACGCCACCACCATCACTTACGTAGCCACCCAGATACGCGAACTTCATGACTACTTCCATTTGCTCACTACTCAGGCTGAGTGCAGGTTCATAGTGTAGGATCCAAACTACGGCTTGGATGTTGAAGAATAGCCGACAGGGGGTTTTAGACACGTGCCCTTTCCCGTCGAAATCAGAACAAGTAATCGGGTAACTAGCGGTTCTATAATTCATAATAAATTTAATGTAAATCATTACCTAAACAAATATTATCACCCGGCTATTCAACCAATGATTGTTCAATCAATTAAATCTAAATTACAATAAATAAAGAAGTTGATAGAAGATGAGGAAAAATTACCAATCACAACAAATCAACGTTATTCTATCCTGGCTGGATAGATCACACACAACAGGAGGAACAAATCAATATGGCTACCGCCAAGAACAAGTGTCAAGTAAAACAACGCAGATGCAGTTCAGGAAGAAACACAAACTTAGTGAATGCGTAATAAAAACAAAAACTATAACAAAAATACAAATATTAACAATTCAAATGTAATCAAAATACAACAATGTACAACTAATGCGATCAAT